AAGAAAACTGTAGTATCCTTTTTTATAGGGTGGGCATCATCTCTTGGGAATATCTATTATTATTATTATTTTTTGCTTATCCCTAGTACACATGGTACAGGCCATGGTAATCATGGTGGGTAGAAGTAGGCAACTGCCCATGGGGGGATAGAACCTACGACCTTTACGTTATTAGCACAACACTCTAACCACTGAGCTAATGGGCCAAATATATCTATTGTACACTCACCAAATTCTGATGGTTGATTGTAGCAAGGTGGTGATTAAAATAAAATGTAGACCAACATAGCTTACTCATTTGATACTTTCTGGTTAAGGAATGAAGGATCCATACCTGAGCCATCTTGAGGTTGTCTCGGATCTGGAATTTGTCCAAGGCTCCAAGTGGAACCTTCTCCTTCGACTGGAGGTACCGGAGAAGTCCAGGAGGCTGAGAGACACAACAGATGGAACATCAACTAGCGTCATTTGTATAATGCCTTAGATATCCTAACATTTGATTTGAAAGCTCTAGGCTTTTCATTAATTGAGAGAGCAACAAGACTAAATCCTCCAAAATGGTAAAACAATGCAAGAAATTTTGGTACAAGCATTGTTCCCACATATATTGGATTGAATAAAACATTTATTTGCCAATATTTACCTTTTTATTATCTAAAGATTTAAATATGGATTGTTCTCTTTTCAGAACAATTTATACATATATATCATACTTTAGGTTTTAATTAAATTTAAACTAAATGATATGCAGCCAACCACCAAATCAAAACATAAAAACCAAGCTTAAGAAGAAAGCATGAGCTCTCAATCAGAATGTGAAATAGAAAATGACTCAAATTGAACTTGCTTTTGAAATGTACCTTTTTAACCTTCCAGTTTGAAATACTGTAAAGCACAAGCTGGTACAGTAAAACCTCAGATTAGTAGACCTCATATTACTGAATTTTTCATATTAACACATTTTTCAAAATACAGCAGAACTTCCCTGTAAAGGACACTTATTTGCAGAGCTAAAGTGTCCTTTAGGGAGAGGTGTCCTCTTACTGGAGAGTTGTCAATTAGTAAAACTGGTAATTTTGTTGATGAAAAGTGTCCTTTGTAGAGAGATGTCCTCTAGCAGGAGTGTTCTCTCATGGAGGTTTTTATGTATATCAATAAAATTACAATTTTTCCATAGAAGTTTTATACATATTGCCCCAAAAAAAAAAAAACGTTTGCAAATATCTAATACAGTAGAACCTCTCTCTCTGTAAAGGACACCTAATTGCAGAGCCAAACTGTCCTTTAGGGAGAGGTGTCCTCTTACCAGAGAGTTGCTAAACAGTAAAAATGGTAATTTTGCAAATGAAAACTTGCAGAGAGGTGTCCGCTAAAGGGAGGTTCTACTGTAAAAGATTGTCCCCCTCCATAATATTATCTGCCGTAGAGTTTAAAGTAGTCAAACCTATAAGTTTAACAGATTTTAATTTTAACAAATTTATTTAAAATAGTTAATAATGAAGATTTAAGATATTTGGTCTCACAAGAGAGAGTCTGCCATCACAATACCTACCAGGATACGGCCGAGACACTCTAGAGCCCGAGAACTGCCGGTGACCCACAGAGTGACCAGGTTGCGGGAGAGCTGGAGGTGAGCCAGCATGCGGCTGTCAGACTTGGGGGTGTAGAGGGCCATGTGGAGGTGGCGGGGCAGGGCACCTTCTGCCAGGGACAGCTCCTGCATCCTACTGGCTACTTCCGCTTCTCCTTCCTACCACATCATGTCACTAGCTGAAGTCTACACATCTTGCCCCCTACATACAGAGTAATCATCTTTCTCATTTCTAGTGTCATCACACTAGCTGAAGTCTACACATCTTGCCCCTCTACATACAGAGAAATCATCTTTCTCATTTCTAGTGTCATCACACTAACTGAAGTCTACACATCTTGCCCCTCTACATACAGAGAAATCATCTTTCTCATTTTGGTGTCATGACACTAACTGAAGTCTACACATCTTGCCCCTCTACATACAGAGAAATCATCTTTCTCATTTTGGTGTCATGACACTAACTGAAGTCTACACATCTTGCCCCCTACATACAGAGTAATCATCTTTTTCATTTCTGGTGTCATCACACTAACTGAAGTCTACACATCTTGCCCCCTACATACAGAGAAATCATCTTTCTCATTTCTGGTGTCATCACACTAACTGAAGTCTACACATCTTGCCCCCTACATACAGAGTAATCATCTTTTTCATTTCTGGTGTCATCACACTAACTGAAGTCTACACATCTTGCCCCCTACATACAGAGTAATCATCTTTCTCATTTCTGGTGTCATCACACTAACTGAAGTCTACACATCTTGCCCCCTACATAAAGAGAAATCATCTTTCTCATTTTCTGTGTGTGTTCAATACAAATACAGAGAAAATGTATTTATAAAATTCAAGCCTCTCTAATTCAACGCCCCAAAACTGTTGATTTAAAGTAGGTAACTTGGTTGGGATTTAAAAACGGGATGATTTGCGTTGATTGAATTAAATAGATTATACTCTATAAATATTTATATTTTATCATTTTTAAGATATAAATATTTAGATTCAAATTGCATAGCTTTTCTAAATATATTGTGTATTATTATTAACCCTCATTTAAATACTAATAAACAATTATTAATTTTGTGCCCCAATGTGTGTTTGTTTTTGCTATACGTTTCCACAAAATTTGACCAATCCCGGTGATATTTGACTCCATATAGAATATACAAATTAGTTCAGTAACACGGGTTAATTTGCATATTCCTTTTGTTCTGAGAGAAGAAGCCTGTTGACCCGACTAGTTAACAATAAAGATAAGGTACAATTTGGATTATAGATAAGAAACAAAAGTTAACAAGACCACAAATCCAAATTATTGAAATATCACAAACATTTCAATAATATTAGAATTAGTATTGTTATCTTTTGTTAATATGGATAAGGTCATATGAGGTAAGTAAAATCTCTCTCCCTCTATACATATATGTAATATTATAAAGAATATTGTCTAATAAATAATTATGTACCATGTTGGATATAATGTATTCTGTATGGATTCAAATAAAGATGGCAGTCAAAGGACTTTGGAGATGGAAGAAGTAGAAGAGAAAAGAACGACAGATCCAAGTCGTGTATCTAGGTCACTTAGAACAAAGAGGCCCTCATATTCCAGAGTTGAATGTCCTGAGAGATTGGGATGTTAGGCAAAGCTTCTTCCCGACCAAATTTACCATCATGGCCGACAGAGACAGGGACCAATCAAAGGTCAAGCAGGGTCCCACATGACCCTGCCGGGGGGCGGGGCAACCAGAGTTCGGTCGGTAACGTGTGTGTCAAGACGTGTGTGTGCATCTTCTAAAAGTAGTGCCTCGAGGTCCAAGATGTGAGTCATCTCAATCCAATTTAATCGCGAAAATCCTTCCATCTCCTCTCCCGAGCCGCCAATGATTAATATTCCGAGGTGTTTTGTGATTCATTAATCGATATAGTGTGCCGATTTTTTCATCCACCGCCATTGATAACGACTGCCCAAACATACAAAATCCCATCCACTCCCGAGGATTCTCAGGACAAAGCACTTTAATATAGAGAGTCGACAAGATTCTCAGGATCCTTTTCCCATATACCACAGAGAGTCGACAGGATGGACGAGAAAAACGAAACGCAAGACGCGGAGGAATACACCGCAGAGGGAGAAAACAACCCCGCCGTAAGTACTCCCAAAATAGAACCACCCCCTCCGTCGGCAGAGTTGCCGGCCGTCCTGGCACGCCTCGCGGCGTGTTTATCTGCCCTTCAGACCACCAGCGACCGCGTGACCCATCGGACGGAGATAGAAGTCCAGAGCTTCGACGGGACCTACCCAGCCGCACAGTTCTTTCGGACATATGACCAGAAAACAGACTGGGATGGTCTCACCAACACGGAAAAAGTGCTCCGCCTACCCCGTTACCTGAACAACAAACCGCTAGAACACTTCAGGAGGCTTCGGATGGAGACCCAACATTACATCCAGGTGAGACAGACCTTCCTGGATCTCTATCCGGAGACCAATGAGGCCACGTATGCCCAATACTTCTCCATGAAGCTGGCCGGACAGCCCAACCTGGAAGAATACTATCGGAATAAGACCGCGCTGGGTCTACAACTGGGCCTCCCACAAGAGGTCATCTTGGAGACGCTCACCGAGGGGCTGCCACCCTCCGACCAGCGCCTCGTCCGCATTGTGCCGCCAGAGAACCTAGGTGCATGGTTCCGGCTGGTGCAGCGGATCCGCGGCAGCGGCGCACCATCTCCCAGGCACCCAGACGAGCACGCACCACCCCTACTGGGCCCCTACGCACCGGTGCGACCTAGTCCAAGAACAGTGCCAACCAGGTCGACCCCGCCAACAGACTGCCGTTTTTGTGGTGGACTACACTGGCACTCTGAGTGTCGTCTCAGACAAGCCCCGCAGTTGCCCCGTGCCTCCGGAGACGCACGAGCAGCGCGCTCCGCGCAACTAGCGGAACAACGGCCGCGAGCCCAGCCCCATCACCAAGCGTCACGCGCACAAGCCACTGGGATAACCAAGGGAGCCCCAGACCAGCAGCCAGCAGGTAGGCCTACTGACCAGGCCTTTCGTCAACCTGACAATTAGTCTGCCAATCTCCCATGGACTGTCCCTACCATTCCTGATAGACACGGGTGCGTCCGTTAACCTAGTGTCATGTGCCATATATAAAAATTTAAAGAATAATTTCCCTGACCTAAATTTAATAACTAAAAAAATAATAAATTTACAGACAATAGATGGCCACGTGCCAACAATAGGCCAGATTACCTTCCCCCTATCCATTCATGCCATAACCCAAAACGAAGTATTCCACGTGGTGGACGCCCCTCTACCATTTGGAATACTTGGTATTAATACCCTCCGTAAATTCAAATTAAAAATCGATTTTGCACATGGCACTATGTACCAACTCGACGCACCTTTGTCGCCCCTGACCTACCACTTTGCTGTGTTGCCCGAAAGGTGCACATATTGGGAATGCCAGGCGGACCTATGCAAGGCCCACACTATTTTTCCGCCTTCCGCCAACAATACCCAATATGCGCATTTTTCGGACAACACGTCCACAACCCAGGGACTCACCCAACCACCGCACCATGTCCAATCAAAGAACTTTTTTA